TGATAACGACCTTGTTTACTCGAAACCGGTTTTTGTGACGACATTTGCCGAAAATTTCGCTTAAAAAGAAGCGTTGTTGCTTGCAATTTGCAAGGAGTGGGTTCTACTATCAATTTTAAGACCCGACTCGCTAATTACAAGTCTCACATTAAACGTAATAAGAGAACCTGTGGTATTGTTAACCATTTTCTGGATTGTCATGGTGCTGATTATTCATTGTTGAAATTCATGTTAATTGATCGGCGCCAGAGCAACCTAAGGGAATGTGAAAATTTTTGGATTGGTATGCTATTGACTAATCAAAGAGGACTTAACTCTACGCATGATTGTATACAACAATAGGATTAGGTTAATTACTTAGCATGCTAAATAGTATAAATGCCATGTGCTATATATATATATATAGTTTGTCTTGGCCTTTTGTGTTTTGAGTTTTGGCTTTAATTCACAACTACATAATCTGTTCAGAACGATTGTTTTAGGTTTTCCACAAATTTGATCTCCTTTTTCCCCCATCTTAAGTCTCGATATTAAAAACAATTCGGCTCGTCGCAACCGCGATTGGGACGGGCCAAAATCCGCCATTTTGTGGAGACAACATTTTTACTGAGAAAAGATAGGAGAACGCATTCTATATCTATTATTTTTAGGGATGGGAATCATACAAAATGGAAGAAAATAACACGCCCTTTCGATAATTACGTCACAAATAATTTCTTTGCCTGGGAACCTCTCTCTCTCTCATGAATCAAAACTGATGGCTAAATTCGTTCATGCATGAGAACAAAATACACTCTTTCGATAATTACGTCGGAAATGTCTCCTAGTTCACTGGTTGCCTTTAAATAAGGCAACCAATTTACTCAAATTTAAATTACTTCTAATTGAGTGTCTAATCCCCACTTTATTTACTCTTCCACAGTTGATATGTGATGCTGTGCTTGCAGCGGCCGGAAAACTACATCAGTCGCTGTATGAAAACGATGAATTTCAATTGGATATTCCTTTTATTCATTTTACCTACTCCTTAATTCAAGCTCGTTTGGTAAACTTTTCTGAACTTGTTCATGCTGTTCCTGATATGGTTCAAACAATATTGAAAAAACGTGATCAATTGGATGTTGGTGAAATGGTTTGTATTACCCATCATAGTAAAACAGTAACGAAATTGTTTTTCAATTCTGTTAATTCCTCTTTATCATCGGTTAAGCTGTTGGTGAGGTAACTTATATCTTGGCCTTCTGCGTAAATGCATGCGTGTACTTCTAAACCGATATGCAGCTGGTGCCTTTAAAAGTTTCGAACTTTGATTTACCTAGAACTGTAGAAAAACCCCACATAAAACTAAAACATCCATTATGCTGAAACAACTTTTGTTGTATCGAATTAGGGCAACAAAATATTTTTCATTGAATCCCCATGACCTTTTAGTAATTTGTTTAAATCAGCAGAATTGGTAACATGAACTTCGTTGGTCTGCAATAATCAGGGGCGCCGGAAGCAACATGAAGCGGCGGGGGACCCATTTAAAAAGGGCACTTACTCTTGAGCCTTATTTTTTTTTTTTGGGGGGGGGGGCAATGTTCGTTAACAGTTTGCTGTATAACGGATTGCGGATACTTCATTACTTGTAGCTAATACAGTTAGACAAATTTCGGCATGGATTGGAACATTTTTATTCGTTGCATGACACTAAAGACTAAAATGTATTGTAAAGCAACATGACAGTTGTCAGTTACTTAGGAAGGCTTCCTTTTTCACTTTTTCTCATAGGTGGAAACTGATTGGTAACGTTTCTGAGAGGAATTCAGATTCAAATATGAGCTAAATTGTTTAAAAACAATTCATGTGAAAAACGCACGACGTTCGAAATGCAGTTCTGGTAAAAAAGGCAACCTGCTGCCCGTGCTGCCCCCGCACTGTTTAGGCAACGGGGGCAGCTGCCCCCGTGGTTCCGGCGCCCCTGCTGCAATTATTGCTGATTACGGGTGGCTCCCTACAATTTTAGGTCTGTGTCACGGAAATTTTGTCAACGCGCGAGATTAGTAGTGCTACACGCAACACGCGTGGTCGACGTTGCACGCGTGGCGGGTTTTTTGAATTTGCGGTTCCAACGAATATATTTATTGCGCTAAAACATCGTGATATACACGCGCGGACCTTCGTGGGATTGTCGGCTGGTCACGCGAGGAAATTGAAATCCTGATTTTTGTGACGTCACATAGATAAAATAAATGTATTTTTCTCGTGTTTCTTTCTGTAATTTTTTTAAAACTTCACACACTTTCCTGTAATCTTGAAGTGCGTAAAATGTGCACATTTTAAGAAAATCGTACGAGCCGAATTTTTTTTATTCCAAAAACAGGCCTTTCTGAGGATTAAAAAAAATTCTCGTACGATTTTTTTTAAATGCTATCATTTGAAGGAATTATAGGTAGATTACTGTGTGCGAAAAATTAAAAAGTTTTGCCGAAGAAATTTTCAAAAAATGATTAAAGAATCATTATTACAATTACCATGGCAACGGGGATTTTTAACGACATTTTTTATTTCTCGTAAATCGCGATATTGTAGCAGTTATGTGGCGGAGTTTCGTGATTATACTTTGCAAGATGATGAAATAATTGTTTTAATACAATTGTGTGCTGTACAATCAAAACTGTAGGGAGCCACCTTGAGACGTCATTGTGAATATTTTGGATATATACTAGACGTTTCCAATACTATGCTGCAATTTGACTGATTTAAATCCAGTTCTAGTACTTGGATTTATAGTCTTGAACATCAAGTAGAGATTTTAAATAAAGAGTCCTAATAAAATTTCTATTTGGACTATTACATAAAAACAAGAAAAATAGCCTGCCAGTAATCAGACATTATAAACAACTTATTAGTTCACGTCAGCTTAAAAAGAAAGAAAAACTCTTCTCGAAGTTTCGAGCGTATAGAACCATCGTCACAAGAGTTGGTAGGTATAGGATACACTGCTTTTATACTAACGTTATACAAAGGTAGTAAATTTTAGGAAAACAAACCAATCATGACAATAACAAGGTCAACACATTTATATTATTAAGTAAGTCTGCACACAGTTTCCAAACCAATCTGACAAAGCAAGAATTAACAAAGTTTTGCTGAAAATTTCTTACAATTAAGCGGCTATCTATTTCATCAGAATTAGTAAAATTGCAAAGTTTAAGCGCAAGATATTATAAAATAAGGATAATATGCCTTTATATGCAAAATTTTGATATTCTGTATACTTTTATATTGCGGAAGCTGTTTTTTTTCTTGCCGGGAGGGCAGATCGCAGAAGCAATTAAATATCTGCTTCTGCGATATAAAAATAACTATATCTAAAGTGCGTAAACCTTATACAAGGCCATGTTCCTATCGTAGGTTTTGCATGAAACGAATTTCATCTATTTTGATATTTTACCATTTTGTTTGTAATTGGTGATGTAGGCATGCATTTACTACAGTAGGGCCTATAAGTTGTCAGGGTACAATATCAGTATACTAATTCAACTCAACCAGAGCGAGAACGCTATACAATTCTATATAATCTCTACAAACCATGGTTGAATTGACTCTTGGCACTTGCCACTAAGATTTGCAATTTTACTACTGTTGACGTGCTCTTAAGCTGTGGTGCTAGATCTTTAATTCCCTGCCTTATTAAAAATTTGAATATCCCGTGAAAAGGTCTTATAAATAGTGTTAGAAAAACTGCTATATACAGACCAAGGCAATACATTGTAAGACTGATTAAGTCACTTCATGATTCTGATGCTTTAGTACATCTTTTGCTTATTTAATTGTTCATTTGCAATACTTTCAGATTCTGGATGTGGTGGCACTTGAGTGTTGCTTGCAGCAATTGGAACCAAAACCTAGAGATCTAGAGAACGCTGATAATAGGTTGATTTGGTGTAACCGAGTTCAATGCATTTTTCCTATCATACAAGTTATGGAAGGTTTGATTCCAAGACCGTCGCAACAACAGATAGGAAATGGTGACAATGAGGCTAGGTTTCCTGCTCGAATTTTTGGAGAAAGATCTACTCATTATTTACAAAACTGCAGGTGTGTACTCATCCTATCCACTCCGTGACCCATCGCTCTTTCTAGAGTGGGTTGCTTCTGAATACGTATAAGGTTACACAACTTTTCATCATACACACCTATGAATTTACGTTCTGTAATACAAAAAAGTTTTCATAAATGTGTTGGGCCCAACTGAAATAGGCCAAAAATATGAATTCACAGCAACGATGTATAATATTGATCACGTTTTCTCTGGTTTCCAAGAGCATCCCCATCTTGTTGGCATGAGATGGTCCTCGAGTATTTCATCCCTCGAATATTTCACGCTGCAACTTCAGATCACCCCTGACAAAGACACTGGACTGTAGTTTCGAAACGTTGGACCGTGAATGCATTTCGACTGAACTTTGCATTCATTCATTCATTCATTCACTATACAGCAGCGAGCGAAAACCTAGGCTATGCACTGCATATCTACTTTCAGAAATCTAAACCGATGGGAGGGAATTACCTACACTAGTGCTATTATAGTGATCAATCCAAGCAGAGAATTATTTGCAAGTCTGCCGTGGAGGAGATTGGAAACTACATCTGATATACCCTTGAAATAATATTTATATTTGTTCACGGATAGAATATTTCAATATATACATGCCCCAATTGTACTACGTGTGGTCGCGAGTTATCTGACGCCTTGCGAATGTATGTTTTTTCAAACGTTATAGCACAACGGATGTACAAAAATTGTACCTTTTGTCAAGTGGTATACTGTATTCCAATCGTCTAAACATTACGTTTAAGCATTTTCCGACTTAAACTGACATTGCTTATTCTTTAATTTCATGTGTTTTTTTAAATGAAACCAATAACCATGTAAACGTTTGAATTAACTTGCATGATAAATACACGAACGTATTTCTCTTTTTAGAACCACGTGGATTCGTCTAGATGTTGTACGTATGTTTATTGAACATACATGTCCACCTGGACAGTCAACCCATCCAGCAGATGCAAAGAACGCTTTTCTACTGTCGAAGGTAAAACCTAATACTATTCTTTTTGTTTTGGAAATACTAGAAATAAAACGTTACGGCACGTTTAGAAATGACTGATGTGGAAATCTAGAAATGAATGAGTAAACTATTGAAATTGTTGCATGCAGAAAATTTGCGCAATGAAAAAATAATATAATTCCAGGCAATGTGCGGAATTAGTGACGCTCACATATATTTAATTGCAGATTAAAGACAAGTTATTCAAGTTAAGATTGCGTCTGCGTAATTTGTGTACATTCATCATTGTTAGATAAGACTTCAGCACGCATATTGAGTAGATTCTCTCCAAGTGGATCGATCGCTGCGATCGGCGGACATTAAGATCGGATGATCAAGGACTGCTACACATCCCGAAAACTAACTGTAAGACCTTATAGGTGATCGGTCAGTTGCGGATGCGGCTCCACAATTGTGGAATTCCCTATCTCTGAATGTGAGGAACTGTGATAACATTTCAGTCTTCAAGAAACGTTTGAAAACATTCCTTTTTAGTAAGACTTTTAAGTACTATTTAAAGCACGCGTAGGAGTGTTTTATCACATATAAAACACGACGCGTAGCGGAGTGTTTTATATGTGATAAAACACGACTACACGTGCTTTAAATAGCTTCAAAAGCGACTCATCTTATACGAGTTCATTGGCGAAGTAATTTTTAAAATAAACTTTGTCTAAACCGAGAAAATCAAAGTTAAAGTTTATGTAAATTAACATGACTTTTATCACATATAAAACCACGACACGCTTATGATTTTTCTTTGTGTTTTGCTCCTGAATTATTAATGAGTTTTTTAACCTTTTATAGTCTAAGACCACGTATTATAATCGTTTTTATCGTAGATATTAGAACTGTGAGGAACTGTGATAACATTTGATCAGTCTTCAGGAAACGTTTGAAAACATTCCTTTTTAGAAAAACTTTTAACCTTCCACAGCCTAAGACCACGTATTTTATCATTCTTGTTGTAGATACACTCACTAGTCCATCTTTCAGCGTCAGTTATTATGCTATATTTAGTATACTTTATTCTCATTCCGTTTTCTACTAGATGAATTTTTTAGCTTTTCACAATGTACAGCGCTTTGAGTGTTCTACATAGACTATGAGTTACTAACCTCTAGTTAAATGAATATATTATTATTACTAGAGGGCACTCAGAGACTGCATACCTCCGCCTACGCGCAAAATATTGAAGTAATCTATTGTTATTATTATCAGAATTTGAATGGCTGGTGCATATATTATGCACGTCCTAATTACGCATTCAGTATAAAGTTGTATTTAATTGACCGGGAAAAGCAAGACAAACGTTTGTTATTTCTCATTCAATTTTTAACCAAATTCAACCAAATTTTAATCAGTTCTTCCTTAGCCGATGGGAAATGCACTCACAAAATTTCGTACGGATATGTTTGGTATTTCTTGAGTTATCTTGCTCACAGCAAACACACACACACACACACATACACACACACACACACACACACACACATATATATACACACACACATACACACACACACATACACACACACACACATACACACACACATACAAACCCAGATGATTACATAACCTCCTGGCG